TACCCACATAGGCTGTCTCACAAGCATCCGTTATCTCCAGCTCCAGGGAGTCTGACACCCTCTTCTGGACTCTTCGGGCACTGCACTCACATGTATCTCCCATCCATACACACATAACCCTCTCCCATATACACCTAATATGTTTTTATTCTTAAATTTTTCTTTATTTCTGACAGTCTCATACACATACACAATATACAATGGCTTTATTAGCCCTCTTTACCTCCTTTTCTCTCCCTTTCTTTCTCTATGAACCTCCTTTTCTTCCCAATTAGCTTCCCTCTGGTTTCTCCCACCTCTAGCAAACCTTAGCAGTTAACATTGCCTCTTGGAGATGTGTGGCCTCAAGGACACCTCCTCTATTCGTGATGGAAGCACGAAGGGCTTGATCTTGTATAGATAGCCATAACTGCTATGTGTTCATGATTTGCAACAGCCATGCAATCTCTGAATGGTGGCATCCCATGGTACTCTTTCCCATCTTCCATTTTTTTCTTATTTATTTATTTGGTTTTTTTTTTTGAGGCAGGGTTTCTCTGTAGCTTTGGAGCCTGTCCTGTAACTAGCTCTCGTAGACCAGGCTGGCCTTGAACTCATAGAGATCCACTTGCCTCTGCCTCCCGAGTGCTGAGATTAAAGGCATGCGACACCACCGCCTGGCCATCCATCTTCCATTTCTTAAATTCTCTCCTCTCCCTTTCCTCTGATGTTTCCTGAACCTTGGGAGGACGGTGTTTCCATTTTCCTTAACACCGTTTACTCCTTTAGTTTCCCTAGAGCCTGGTTCTTTCCAAATTATGCTTTTTAAAACTCCTGCCCTCAAAATTATCATGTCCTCAAAATTATCACTGCGTGTGAGATTTAAAGATTATAGTTACAGTTTGCCTTGAAAGGGACAAAGAAACACATACAGGATGCTTAATGAGTAAATATTCAATATTTGTTATCAAGGACGTTCTTGAGTTTTCCAACCATTTTGTATCGATCGTGGCCACAATGTTTTGATCCCTGAATACTTAATTTTGGAACCCTAAACAAGTGAGCTAAAGATGCGGAGTCCTCTGATCCACTAGGATGTAAGAAGGAAGTCTATGAGCGCGAGGCCCGCCCCACTGATGCGGAGGGGAGGGAAGGGCAGCCAGCAGGTGCTGTTCTGCACTGGGCTTGAGCTGGGGCCAGGCTGCAGCTAGAATGACCACATCTCATTACAGTTTTAGGACACCGTGTGCTTCCTCACTAGCCTTCGGGTGGGAACGAAGCCAGCCAGGCCCCAGAGGACACCTTCAGGAGTGTTTGCTCTGAACCTCAGCAGAAGGACGAGAAAGATGCCTGGCATCTGAGAGACCCTGTCCTGTAACCAACGGCAGAAAATCTAAGATCTGTGGTCATGTACCTAAATGCCGACTTAGGGAATCGGTAACCTGGTTCTCTGTGTTTGTACAAAGCCATTTGCAGCAGCCAACAAATTCATTTCCAGACTCCAAGGCTCTGTCTTTGCTATAAGATTCAGCATTATTTTTAGGAAACCACTGTCACCCCGATGAAGGCCACTGGCACCATCACCTTAAACACAATGGCTCCTAACTCTTTGGTACTTCATCCACAATAGAGAAATAATACAAGGATATTCAACCTTCCCTAAAGACCCCAAAATGAGACCGCATAAAATGGGAATTTCCTTCCTGCTAAAAGCTGTGTTCTGCATTTTCTAGTTGACAAAGTGCTCTCTTCCAGGTGAATCAATGAGTTAATCCTTGCTGACTGCCCCTGGCCTAGTGCCCATCTTCTCTTTAGTCTTTACTCAGAATCCTGCCCCCTAATGAGTGTGCCTGCCTTATCTGCGCCCATCTTCCCTTTATGACTTTACTCAGGCTCCTGCCCTGTAAGGAGTTTGCCTTGTTTCTCTTTTGGCTGCTGACACTTGCTTCCTTGTCCTGAGAATCTGCAGACACGTCCGCTTCTCCTTTCTAGACTCTAGTTTCTGAGGGTAGATAAATCTTCTCCCTCTCCCCATCTCTCTGTCTTCCTTTCTGTTTTTCTCCTATATTCCCAATGATGTCACTCTGCTTCGCATACCATAAATGTTCAATAAATTGACTTTAGCAACGGGGGGTGAATTACCTTAAAGGACAACGTTTACTCCTTCAAGAAATGACTCATTAGATAATTAAATATTTACACTCCCTTCTTCCAGTCCAATTAAGAATGTTATCTGTGCACACAGACAAATGTACACACAGTATGCCTGAGTTACCCTAAGCCGATCTTTGGGCAAACACAAAAGAGAATCAACCCCATAAATAATTAAAACATAAACTGGGTCATATTTTGTACCTGGTTTTCTTTGAGAATACTGACATGATGCTTTGTAGCAAATGAAAATTTATTTTGCAAATCCATATCCACAAAATGCCACCAAGCATGGGTCATGCATCTTTCTTTTCTGGTTCTGATCCCCTTGCTATGACTTAGCGTGGTAATTATATTACAAAGCCATTAGCCGATGAAATGAAAATGGCAAAACAATTTAAATGCTTGTCTAAAGAGACTCTGTTAGACCGCAATTATGAGTGAAATTACAATGGCAAAATAATTGAAATGCAAGTCTGGAAGACAGAGCCATGGAACCATAAAGACCAGTTTCTGTTAGGGACTCACACCCTTGTGTGAAAACAAGTCCTCCTGAGGGCGGAAATCCAAGTCACTGAAGGGCAGCATTCACAGACAGACGAAACAATCCAGGAGCCTCTTCGTCTGCCATGCTATCTGCACTTGCCAATGCCACCTGCAGATGTGTGTCATCATCGGGTGCTGGCTTCTGTGACAGACTGCCATGGGAACCCTATGCAATGTTGTGCATGAGAAAAAGGAAGAAGGGCAAGTCTGGTGTGGGCTTTCCTGAAAAATCTCCAATATAAAAACTGGTGCTATAGCTTGAGTAGGGTTTCCTTCCAAATTTAAGACTTCAGTGATTAAGTACTGACGCGGATACAAGTCTTGGGCTCTAATCTGAAACATTCTACTGATACATCCTTTGGCAAATCTCGAAAATTCCTGACCAGTCAGGCTCATGCCGATATACCTGCCTACCAAAGGAAAAGAAAACCAGCAAAATCAAAACACAGTATTAGATACAAGAGATCTGCCGAGAAAAATCAATTTGATGACTAGCTAAGCTTTCTCCTCTGATGCACGGTGAGGTCTGCCTTTTGATGGCTGAACACACACTTGAGTCTATCAGCAAAGATAGGCAAGTTATTCACCAGTTCCCACCTGTGCCCCTTCACAGTCTGCTTTCGTGGACCCAGTGCTTCAATTTACACAGGAGAAATAAATACTCTCTCTCTCTCCCTCTCTCTCTCTCTCTCTCTCTCTCTCTCTCTCTCTCTCTCACACACACACACACACACACACACACACACAAGCTAATTTAAAGAATAAAACTCTTTAAAGGAATTAAATAAACCTCTTCTTTGTGATTTTCTCTTGTGGTGCCAGAGAGAGAGAGCTAGGAAATGACATCTAGCCACACACAATTTCTTTGCATCAATGATTATGATATTATCTAATAAACAACTATGTTCTCAGTTTCTCACGTTTAGTTTATAGAAGTCTACTGGAAATACAGACAGCAGTATTCTGATTGTGTATAGATTCTGAATTGTGTAAAATTTTCATCAATACAAACATGTTCTTTGAGACAAAAGTTCTTTTTCTTTATTTTTTTAAAGATTTATTTATTTTGTGCAGATATGAGCGCTCTATTTACATGTATGACTTCATGCCAGAAAGGGGCATCAGATCCTACTATAGAATGTTGTGAGCCACCATGTGGTTACTGGGAATTGAACTCAGGACCTTCGGAAGAGCAGCCAGTGATCTTAATGACTGAGCCCTCTCTCCAGTGCTGAGGCAGAATTCCTAAGAGGAGTTTGAAAATTCTTCTGATTTAGTGTATCAAGTAGTTGATATGGGCCCTTAAACTGTGTATGTCTGCTCCTCCAGCTTACCTCGAGAGAATAAACTTCCTCTCCACAAAAGATCCTTCTGTGTATGGTGAACTGAATATAAAACCCGAATCTGTTGTCTAGATACCTTACAGAAGTCATATCTCAGCACATAAAATTGAATTATTAATAGCATTTGAAGTCAGTTTTAAAATCATATTAGAGAATGAAGTTTGTCTCGTTTAGAAATGAAGATGCAAACCCCGAAAACAAATTTAAAATCACCTACAGAAAATTCCATGTAGAAAATAAATTAGAAATAAAACAAGCAAACACTCTCATAGATCATAAGGGAAAAGATATCAGTGTTCTGGAAATAAGTGACGGTATTAGATGTAATATCTGAAATCAACACTCACAGGTTTCATAGAATCAATCTCTATTTAGAAAATTATCAGGTGAGTTTTCTATAGAGATACTGGGGATGGAAACCAAGGTTCTTCATGTGCTTGGCAAATGCTCTACCACTGAACTACAACCCCAGCCTTACCTTAGACATCAGTAAAGGAGACACCAATGCAAGTCTATACTGCCATGTACCCATGTGACATACACTAATGTGTTGGTAAATGAAAGGCTGTATTCGCAATGGTAACCTATAAGATTGTATGGCTAATGATGTCAGAGCTATGTGCATGTGTAGACTTTATAACAGTTACATATCAATTAGTGACACCCTTCTCATTAAATGGCACGTGACTTTTCCTAGAGTAGCTTAAAATACATTTCTCTAACTTGCTTTAAAGTGCTCACACATAGGTTGTATTGATGAATATATAAAACATGAAGAAATCGTCAGAAAAGTTAGCTACAGAACCCAGGTAAGGGTCTGTACAGGTGCTCATGGCACAAATTTTTCTTTTCTTTTCTTTTTTTTTTTGTACTTGTAAGATGTCTCATTAAAAAATGCAGTGCTCTAGATGAGTGTTATTTACTCTGGGCTCCATAATTAAAAGCATTTTCAGAGCTGTCTCCCTGACAAAAAGCACTCACCTAGCCATCCGGATCCTGAGTTCGGTATGCAGAGGTCTGTCTCTGCACTGGGTAGCACGAAGCCCACCACAAACACCTCCACACCATCCGCCATGAGAGCCATGCCCAGGACAAAGAAAAGGGCCCACTGGAAACGACCATGGCCACACTCCTGGATGATCAGCTCATACTGCTGGGCCAGCTCTTCCTCGTCAGCCCTCCGCTCTGACTCCAGCTCTCGGCGGTCCTTGTACTCTTCTCCTTTGGGCTGTCCCACTGACACTATGCTGTCCTTCCCCTGGTTCATGCTGGGGATGCCCTGGTACTCCCCTTCATAGATCTCATCCTCTTCATCATGCCCCTCAGTGGCCTCACTGGAGCCCTCGTCATCGTTGGCCTCCCCGCTGTAGGGTTCTCCGGGTGGGTAGTAATCATCGTCATCGTCTTCGTCCTGGAACCGACTGTAGGACCGCTGGGTGTATTCATCCTGGGCCCGGTCCACTGCCTGGCTCACCTTCTTCACTGTTTGCTTCTTCACTTCTTTGGCAATGTCCTTGGCACCCTTCATCAGTGAGGTCCTATCCTTGTAGGAGTCTTCCATGTTGTCTCAGCTGAAGGCCAGCGTGCAGCAGGGGAGTGTCCACGAGTGTTCAGCAGCTCAGCTCTAACGGCATTGTTCACCCGTGGTTCCAAGTAGATCTGTACGGGAAGAACCAGGAGAGATGCTCATTATTCTTTCCCTTTCATTTTCCACCACTCAGCTCTTGGCCCCTTTTCACTGCTCCACCCTGCAGTAGACAGACACAGAAAGGCACAGAATGCACTTTTCTTGCTTTGCTTGCACCCACACGTGAGCACACTATGCTGTTTCTTTGCTCAAGTGCAAACCACCCCTGGAGGAGCTAGCCCAGGTTTTTGTTTTAAAGAGCTTTGCTCGTAGGGTAATGTTGCGCAGGTATTCTACTGAGAATGAAGCTAATTCCCTTCCACCTTTTAAAGCACAAACAGTGTATCTCACAAGGCTCCTCCAAGACTCAAAGATCGTCGAAGAGGAGAGAGTAGGAAGCTTTAAGAGCCAGAGGTGGTGGAGGACGATAAGAAAATTTTATCCCGGAGAGAGCAGGACAGCGACACGAATGAAGTCACAGTGGTTGTGACAACATGCATAAAACCCGGAAACCCGGGCAAGCTGGAGCTAGAAAAACATCTCAGCATGGAGACAGAGGTGGTGGGCAGGATGTCCTGCTCCTAGCTGAGGAGATACTAGTGATTAATAGCTACCGGGAGGAGCAAGGTCAGTTTCAGTGAAGATTATGACCTCTGATGGGACAGCCATGCTCCAAGACAGGCCCTACACCTGAGTATTTGGCCAGGGCATGCTGGACTCAGATTGGATGAGTTTTTTTAAAAGGGGGGCACAAAGGTGGGTGGGTGGGGAGGTAGAGGGTGAGTCTGGGGGGAGCTGGGGAAAGGGAAGGATTATGATCAAAACACACTGTAAAAATTTCTTCAAGAATTAAAAAAATATTTTTTAAAAAGCTGTAAGGCTATGTCTTGATTCACAAGACACACAGACGTGTAAAGACTCACAAGACATGCAGCTATACAGTGAAGGCACTGCTGGATGGGGACTAGAAGAAACCCCGTCTCTCATTCCGTGCCCTGAACAGCTCATTGGTCAGTTCTCAGACTGCCATTCCACCTGTCACGATGCATTTTCCCTGTCCCCACACTTGCTGTCCACCAAAGTCTCCCAAAGGCACTCCACATAGGTGCAAGCATCTCCCTTCCCACCACAGCTGTGTCTGTAGGAAGCTGGCAGCTTATTAAGTGAGTTTATGTGGAATCACAGAATTAGAACATGTATTTTGTTTGTGGAGGTCTTCCCTTTCAGAGCGCGCCCCAGCCGACAGGATGAGGAAAGCCCGGGGCGATGAGCCTTCACACATCCACCTGCAAGGCCTTCGGCTTTATCTCTGCTGTCCTCGAATGCAGACTTTCGATGGTGGATGGTAATTTAATGGCACATTAGAAGTGATGCTTCTTTCCCAAGCGGGTCCTATCTGGAAGATGTAGTCACTGTTTCCTTAGGGGCAGCCTTGTGCCAGGGTCCTCTTTTCCTTCTTGCATCTGCTTTCTGGCCCGCGGGAGGTGAGCAGCTCTGCTCTGCCACACACTGGTGCTACGCTGCTCTCTGTCTGATCGCAGACTCACGGACAACAGGGTCAGCTGACCACAGAGTACAACACCTGGAGTGCTCCTAAAAGAAACCCTTCCTTCAACATCCTCTTAGATACTTGTAGTGATGTCATGTTAACAAATACAAAAGCCACGCTTGGGTTGAAAGCAGTAGTTCTCAGGGTGAAGTTTGCTCACCAGGTGTGGCCGAAAGCAAGGCTCACAACCATCTTAAAACATCATTCACGTTTGCAGAGAATGATCCTTTATTTCTAAATGGATTACAGAGTATAATACATACTGGGCGCCAGGCGCTGCCTGCTTCAACTGAAAATTAAAATTCATTGAAAAACCAATGGACTAGGGAGATGGCTCAGCAGTGAATGCATTTTCTGCATGAGCAAAGGACTTTTGCGAGATCCCTAGAACCCATGGAAATTCTGGGTGGCAGCATGCCTGTTAACTCCAGTCTCCAAAGGTGGAGGACAGAGAGCCCTAGATAATGCTGACTAGACAAATGAGTCATAGCGGTCAGCTCTGGATTTGATTAAGAGACCCTGCTTCAAAGAGGAACGTGGACGACTCATCAAGGAAGACTCCTAACATGAATTTCAAGCTCCCACATGTGCAGGTACACATATGCCTGTGAACATACACACACATTCACATACATACTCTCTCCCTCCCCCCCTCTCTCTCACACACACACACACACACACATGCGCGTGCGCGCACGCGTGCGTGCGCGCATACACTCACTACAAATATACAAAGGAAAAGAAAAAGAAACAAAACAAAACAAATTCAGTTGGTTTAGTGCATATTATACCAGGTATATATTAGCATTTTATGCCCCCTTTATATTTTTACAAACTCTTTCAGTCCTATAAAATAAGCATTATGGCCTCCATCTTTCAGATGCAAATACTAAAGCAGAAAGGAATGAATAAGTCCAGGACCATAGGGCTTGTCAGAGCAGCTGGGGCTCGCTCTCAGCTGGGTCTGAGCCCAAGACTTGTGCCTTCACCTCATCCACTTCATCTGGTGCTCCCATTGGGCGTAAGGGCTCCAGCCTGGATTCTATTCTTTTCCTCCCTGTACTAACATGGCTTCACCACCCCTTCTCCAAACTATACTGTGGGCTCTAAAAGGAAAGGAGTTGGAGTTGTTAACGATATCTTTTCATCAAGGATAGTTTTCAGTGGATAGCAGTTCCCAAGTGCAGTCTGATTTGTCCACGGAAACGAGCACAATACAGTGGCTGTCTTTCCAAAGACAAAATGGTGATATTAGATAACACGTAGTGATCAAGAGGGCGGGAGATTCGGCAAAGCCTCCAGACTCCCACCTCTCCAAAAGACTCATGATGACACCCTATCTTACTCAGACAGGAGTAAGATAGGCCGTTCCCCACTGAAGTATAAGGTTCCACCCTTTCACACCTCCACACCTGTCATGTGTCAGCTAAGGGTACCTAGGGTGACCCTGAAATGTGGGTACTCATAGTTCTCTGCACAGAGGGGAAAGCAGATCCAGCACCTGGGGTGCAGTCCTCTGGAAGGCAGCAGCAGGTGCTGGCTGGTGGAAAGGAGGTGTAGAGGGAAGCTGGACCACAGTGGGGGAGCGCCAAGAGTGTGCAGGGAGTGCAGTGAGCATGCCGTCATATTTATTCTATTGTCAGTACTGGGAATCTCTGCAAACACTCTGACACCAAGGAAGAATCCCAGTCTTCACGTTTTGTGTAAATGCCCTGATCATCATGTTGAGCCATAGAACCCACAGCTGATTGATACTGTATCTTTAAAGGCGATATTTAAAACAAATAATTTTATATCAAATGACATCTGATATATTCAATGATACACACATTTTGCACAAATAGAGAAAGGGTAACCTCTACATATGGATGAACGCTATTCTGACAAGCGTGGCGTGTGTATGCTGAGTGTGTGTTTTTGCTTTTGGTGGCTCACAAAATAGCATATATCTAGTAATGTCACATAGTGTTTTAAAGCTGCTTCACACAAGCTCCCACAGCACACAGCACACATGTGTGAACACACACACACACTTACACATCCATACACACACTCACATACACTCCCATGTACACACATACACATGCACATGCACACACACATACCCCCCCCACATTTCTGTTTCTCCACAAAGCCCCCACCTTCAGTATTTCCCTCATCATCACTACCAATAACCAGTTCCTGGGATGCCCCTCCTCTCTAAAACTTGCACGTGTCTTCCAGATGCTCGACAGTGCATCTTTCTCATATGTGCCTTCCCATAGATTTAAACACACTGTACTCTCATTGCATACTGGTACCCATAATAGCAGCAATCTATTCTCCACACAGTGAGTGTCGGGCCAGAATGGGTTCCACAGCAAGCCTTTGTCTCAAGAGAGAAAAATATCAAATTGAGCAGGCCCACTCCAGAGCTCACCCTGTGAAGTACCATATCAACTACCTTTTAGCGAAGCTGTGAGCGTGTGGTGGAAATGAATCTTTGGTAAAAGACAGCACCACCCAGTAGCCTGGGCATCATCGAGACTTTCTGCAAATGCCTGGCATAAAGGGATTGTGCAGAGAGACTTACTATGAAAGGACTCAGCTCCCCAAGGCAGGAAAAATGGAGGAATAGAGAGCTGTTATTGAAAGCATAAAATGTTTCAGTTTTTACAAAATAAAGGGTTATGAAGAAAGACCATGATGACAGGTGTGGAAGAGTCTGCGTGTACAGCTACAGATGGTTAAATGGAAAATTTTATGCTATGCTGACGTTATCACAATAAAAATAAGAAGATACTACCTCATAGCAGATATCCTGGGAAAATAATTTGGAAATTCAGAATCACACACACACACACACACACACACACACACACACACACACACACACGAGTGAGAAAGAGAGAGAGAGAGAGAGACAGAGAGGTATATTTCTACAATCCAGATTCTTAATCAGCAGTTCTGCTTCCAGCATTTCGACTGTGCGGAGGCAGGAGCACGGAGCTGGTCGGATCACACTGAGCCCATGCGTTTGACATCCTGTTCAGATCGCTCTAACACCTATAACTCTTTCACTGTGAAATTCCCGACTTGTTCTCTTTCCTTCTGCTTCTCGTTTGGACCTAGGGAGTGAAGTCCAGTGTTCCGATGTGGGTCTCTGTCTCTATCTCCATCCATCGCCAGATGAAGGTTCTATGGTGATAAGCAAAATATTCATCAGTATGGTTATGGGCCTAGGCCGATTCTCTGAATGTGGCCGGATTCTCTGAATGTGGCTGGCCCGGAGTCTTTCTGAAAAGCCATTGACAATGACACTGGGACTTGTTTCCTCTGCATATACTGGATTTTGCGGATCTAGTCCGTCTGGACACTCACCTTCCTGGACCTGGAGGGAGGCGGGAGGAACTTGAACTTCCCACTGGGCAGGAAACCCTGACTGCTCTTAGGGATGGAGAGGGGGGAGGAGAGGGAGTGGAGGGGAGTGGGAGGGTGGTGGGA